AGATGCACCCCTCAGCCTTTCACTGAATCCCACTGAGAGATAACAACTCTATTAAACTGAGCTTGATATTTTTCCTGTATGCTTCCTCAGAAGCATTATCCATCAAATAGCTGTAAAAAGAAAATGAAGCAAAAAAGAATACATCCAATTTCCATGCCAACAAACCCTGTAGTTAGTGTTAAAGCTAGACCCATTTTGGTTTTCTGCCTTAGGTCATTTTCATCACTTAGAAATTTAGTGTTAATAAATCCTGCATTTTAGTGCAGCATTAGCTCCTATGGCAAGTATTTCAAACTTTTCACAGAAAACAATTGCTAATTATTTCTGCAGAAAACAGCTTCACATTGACAAAGAGAATCCAAATTAATTAAATTATTCATGTTGAACATAAAATTGTTTACAGGCATAGAGCAAACTCAGATTGCCTTTACACTGATTACACCACTTAGCAAGGAATAATTTTTATCTCTTTTTCTTCCCCACATCCACATAAATGGCAATAAGGCCAGCCTCCTATCCACATCCACAACACTATAAATGCTTCTATTTTAGACAGATGTCTGAAATATCCAAGTGCGTGTGCAGGAAATCAATTATTCTCCTTGAGAAATGTTTAATTCTGGACAAACTACTTACCTTTAGAAAAAACTGCCAGGTTATTAAAAAAGAAAAGTGAAATGCTGACCTGTGTTCCTGTGTAACTTCATGCTGATGAGGCGTTAACTTCCAACTCTACCTCATCAGCTGTAGCCACAGAAAACCTATTTGGGATGCAGAAGCCTTAGGCTTGTATAGTTCCACTTGCTGTCAGTAAGAAGCTATTGACATACATAACAAATATAAATATTCCAGTGAGAAACGTTCAAGGCAAGTAAGGTTTTAATATTTTATTGATTAACAACAGAAAATGCAACTTTTGTTTATCACACTGCTGGTTGTCACATACAACTGGTTGTACACATCTAAGTAAACTTTTGCACAGCTTTAATATAATAGCTGCCATTCTGAAAATAACCTGGTCATACAGTGGCACAGTCAAAGACTCGACTTTGAGAAACATACGAGGACACAGATCAGTGTGGTAGGAGCAGCAGAAGAACTTGAGGACTGTAAATCCAACAGCCATAGAGTATGATCTTAGTGACTGTTTTGCACTGAGCCATCTGTTGCCTTGACCACACTGCCAGCAGTAGTTTAAAGGTAACCAGAATGTGTCTATACAAGCTACAAGAAAGGATAACTCATATGCTCTTTGAAAAGGACAGAACAGGACTTACATGTTATATGTGGTAAGCACTGCAGATGACCTTTTAGCATCTTTCTTACCATGACCGTTTTTAGCACAGGGAATACACAATGCCCTTTGATTTGGATAACCAGAGGCTCAATAAACTTCTGTTCTGTATCCCAGTAAGCCCATCCTGTAGTATTTGCTTTAAATGTTATTCCTGTATCTGTATGGTGTAACTGTTATCAGAGCCCCTGAATACTTTGTTCATACTCTCTATTAGTCACCTATATTGTTGGTGCCCTTCTTTACAGTAGATAGTGGTCCAAAATAGGATATATACACATATGTATATGTAATTATTTTTGTTTGAAAAGTGGTTATTTAACAGAATGAATTATAGGTCTGTAGATGAAGATTTGAAATGCTGCTCCAGAGGCTGCTTTCCATCTTCTAGAACTCTGGAAATTCGCTGCAAAAAGAGAGGAACAGAGTGACAGGTGTTAAAACGATGATTATATTGGTTTGGTATGTGTACCAATTACTAGCTTGTGCCCATACTCCATGGTTAGAGAAAAAATCATTGACCAAATTCTCATAGTTTAAACTCATTTCTCTATCCTTCAGAACCATAAATCTGTATTTAAACCTGTTTATATTATTTCAGTGATACTGTGGAAGCAGTATATTAGTAGATTTTAAAAGGATTCTTATTCAGTGCTTTTTTAGATTTGAAAAAATGGGACATTTTGTTCTAATTTCATATGCAGTTTACATTTGAATGTGTATGGATGAGGTCATGATGAAGAGTTGTTACTCCTCAGTCTTAAAAGAACACTACCTGATAAATTGAACATGATTTACACTCTACAAGCTTCAAATTAAGAGTATTTTTGTCCCTACCAGAAATAAATGAGTATGGAAACATCTAACTGCTGAATATACAATATGTTGTTCTGGAAGCACCTACTTTCATATATATCTATATAAAGACTGAAGGAATTAATGGATGGACATGAAACCTGTTCACCAGAAAAAAAAAGTCAACAAAAATACAGAAATCAATCTTTTATTTGAAATATCAGTAGAGAGGTAACATGTAAAACATTACAGATGTCACAGAATGCTTAAGCACTATGTATGTCAATAGCCACAAGCATCTGTGTGTTGTCCTCTCCTACCTAAAATAATAGGATAACTCAAAAACCTCTGAATCTTGATATCTGCACTGAATACTTCTTGTTTCTCTCACACACCACATTAATTCAGTGGTGTTTAATCTTCTGAAATTTCCACACAAGTCAGAGAAAGGTTTACTACTTGGAAGGAAGGGAAACTGTTTTCAGACACATTTACTCCAGTGTAAGACAATTTCTACTTTATAACAATTATCTCATACACCAGAAACTAACTCACACTCTTCACATTTTGCCATATATGCAAAGATTACCTTGCCCTGATGCTAGTGAAACTGCACAATGTAACTCAATTGAACAACACCTGGTTTTGCTAGTGTTATATAAGTCAGAGAAAATCAGCAGGTCAAACGTGACCTCTTGTGGTACAGATGCAGAAGTGCACATCTGTGCCTTTATGTTAAACATATCAAGTACCTCCTAACTTCAAAAAGCACAGTCAGAGGCAAATTTTTGCTTACCCATAGAGTTTCCACTTCTCTCTCTGATGAGAGAAGCAAAATAGACAATAGTTTAACATAAAGTCTCATGATGTTTTAAAATGACTTCATTTTCATAGCTTAGAATTTTTAAAGAGGCAGCTCTTTTTACCATAAACACACAGAACTTACCATTGTTTTAAATAACTGATTCACCTTCTTTTTCTTGACGGTTTTCTTATCACCATCTGAGATGGTGGAAGGAAACACTGGCTGACTCAGCCTGTGTGATGCAATTGTTTCATCAGGTGCCACAGGGCTGACAGACAGAGTTAATCCTTAGAACAGAACGTTGTACAAAACAAAACAAAAAAAGGAGAGTCAGAGAGAGATAAAGCAGAATTTGAAATATCTAATGCAATTAGTAGAGAGAAAAAAGACTTTTGTAATCTAAAGTTACTCCTCAGAATACTGAGCTTCACTGCATTGTAAATGAATAGTGAAAAAAAATCAATAAATTTGATTCACAGATTGTGTCTGGATAGGAAACTACTGTTGTATTGTAATAAATGCCTGTTGTAGCCATATAGAAAGATAGGGACAATGAGAGGGCTAAATGAAGTGCAAACTAAGAAGCCAGATATGGTATGAAAAAAGCGTGGGACAAAGGACACTGAAATTGTGCAACATTTTGTCTGCATACTCTGGCCTAGAAATAAGTTCAAGTTATACTTTTCCCTTCTCTATTACACAGTCTTAAGTTTTCCTGTGGGCAGTTGTGTTACTTCATTTCCCCTTCCTCTTTCTCAGAGAAAGGCTTATAAGATTATTCTCTAAAATCAACAGCAGAAGTTGACAATGTCACTGTTGGGCAATCTTTGGGGAAATTTACCTGCCAAAGCAAGGCACAGAGCATTTATTCCTGCATGAAATCCTCTGATACTGCGCTGACTGAAGACAAGAAAAGCCCGTGCTTCTGCAAGCAATGCCCTATAGATAAATAAACTTGCCTTTCTGAACACAAGGGAATGCTCATACCATACAAGGAAGCAAGATCCTGAGCTCCAGAAAGATTTTACAACTTGTATGTTACTACTAGGTAGCGGTGTTATCAAGCAATAGTCCAGCCTCACATGCACAATACATGCTTAAAATGTAATCTTTGTCTCAGAAGCTCAGGGCCACACACAGATAGCTGCCTGCTTCTGCTCAGAGCAATCCCTTCATCGTTTTCTCAAGTTGCCAAGAAGTGCAGAATGCTCATAGTCTTACCACAAGGAGCTTACCTGGAATAGTTGGCATAGAACGACTGACAGAGCTCATCTGCTTGAGGACAGATGTTTTCTGAGGTGCCACTGCATGTTCTGAGAGGTTGGTGTCACTCATGAATTCGTATTTCCGTGACAGCTGTTTTAAAAAAGTGTAATGCTATTAACAATGAAGTGAGATATAAGGAACAAAGATCCAAGCAAAATAATGTTTTGTGATAAGGATATGAGAAATGTCTGAAAAGAGGTTCTGGCAAGGTGGGTATCAGCCTCTTCTCCTACTTAACTAATGATAGGACTAGAGGCTTGTCCTGCTTCATTCAAAATTTCCTAAACTGTGAAATCAAATGTTGAACTTGATAGCCAATCAGCCCAAAGTCAACCATTCTGCAATGAATCAAGTTTTTTCCTTCTTTCCTTTTCTATCCTTGAGAAAGGATGGGTCAGTGTAACTTCCTGCAATGTACCTTCCCTCTTTATTCTTTTAGGGATCTTTGAACTCACAGGTCAATAAAAAGAGAGAAAAGTTATCCAGACGTGAATTTAACTTCTTGCTAGTTAATATGTAAAGATACAAAACCATCTCTCTAAGACTTGATTAGAATAGTTAGAAGAGCTCTGAGCTAAGATACTCATCTCCCAAAAGAATCTTAGCTTTCTACTC